TAAAAAATAGATCAACCAAATGAAGAATTAAATTAACGTCTATATCAAATAAAATACTATATAATATATATATGCATATTTTGCACTTTGGTGGCACTTTCGTGCCTTTTTTAATGAAAAAAAAATTATTATAATAAACAAAATTATAGACAAACAAACAAATAAATAAATCCACAGGAGAGGATAGTTTTCACATTGAAAAGCAATTTTACATCATGATTCACCAAACATAATAACTTCAGAATTTGACATTCAAATAACACATATTACAGTAGTTTTCACCAAATACAGTACACCTTTCAGCTTAAAACACTTTTTTGAAAAATTACTCTCATAATATACTATTAAACAGGAGCAACTTGAGCATCAATTGAACCAAACAACCACCAATTATCATGTGGGCAATCGATACTGTTAACATCAAAATACAATACCACCATGCATAAACATGTTTCAAAACGTCGCTAGGTATAGAACAAAATAGAAAAGGAAAAAGAGAGAAAAAAACATAAGTAGAATACTGAACCACACCTGTGCTATTGATGTAAAACATTCTAGCAGTGGAAAAAGATCTTTGTCCGAATTTGAAAGTTGCTGCCACTTTGCAATTAGGGGAGGCATCAGAATTTCAAGATATGTGGCCTGCAAGGTATTGAATTGCATATCATTTCCCAAATCAGAAATGCAGCACAAAACCGAAAAAAAAAAAAGAAAAAAAAAAAGTTTCTTATTTGTTTTTCTTCATCTTATTTTTGGTGGAGGCTGCTATTATCTTTACTATTAGAGAGTACCTGGTTCAGTTCTCCTCCAACAGCATCTGCTAGTGTTCCAATAGCATCATAAACAATTCTCAGGTTCCGTCTCTGGATACAATTTTAGAAAAAGATGGTAACAACCCAACACTACAAAGTTACAAGGCAATAAATTGGCAAAAACCTCATTCCAAATGAAAGTTAGCTTAGTTTGGGAGCACAAACAACCTGGTATTTTCCAAACGCACACATAAGGTGCTGTAAAATAATTTCCAAGTGTGGTGCCAACTCTTCTGCAGCCTCCTGCAAATTCAAGGACAACTTCAGGTATTTCAACATTTGAACCAGATAGCACAAGAACCAAGCATGCTAAATGGTAAGAACCTCTTCAAATGTTGCAAAAGCCGACAGCAGCCTCTGCACCCTCTGTCGTATCCAGGATCTCGTAAAGACCATAGACTGTCAAATGCTCATACTTTTGATGGCATATCTAAATATACAAAACAGTGTGATTTGCTGATATAAATG